AGGTTGGCTCGACCGGAGAAAGACCACACTATCACAGAATAGCAGCGTAAAATAGCAGCATAATGATGCTGTTTCGTATGGTGAGTGCAGAGAACTGTAGACCCTTTTTACTGGAAACGAGGCATTTTACCCTAGTCCTCACGGGAGACAACGCATCTGAATTTTGATTCGTACGTAAGGATAAATGTAGATGTCTATGGGCCACAACATCTACTTACCGTGCTTTGGCCTAAGTGTTCGTTTGTCATCCTTAGGCTATTAAAAAATCTGCCATGTTTTGTTGTGTATTTATATTATCCCATATTTCTAATTACTGAATAATGTTGAAATAACTTAAAACATTAAATGCAACTGTCAATTTTTATCCATATAAATTAAAGTCTTAATAAAGCCAACGCCTACTTTTCTTTCATAGCAAAAATTAACATCTATAAGGAATGCATATTAAATAGCCTTTAATATGGGATAAGGCAAATTAACCCTATAAAGCTCTGTCACTATAGAATTCATTTGGATTCACACTTGTCAATAATATGTTACTCTGAAATGATATCTAAGATCAGTTGTAATATCGCGCCAAGTACAGCCCATGTCACGCAGCGATGCCTATTTTACAATGTTTTTATTAAACATTCGTGTCGAGTTTTGTAATTGATTTTAAACTAATTACCCGATGAGCTCAGGACCTGCAATTTTGAACACAGCTCAGAATTCAACGAAAAAATTATAAAAGATTATTTAAATACATATTCTATTTTTCAATTGTTATTTGGATTCGACGATTTACTGAGAGATCAAGGCGTTTCAACCAGAATCGTCCCTTCCAAAGTGATCAGATAAAGCTTTATAAATCATTGGAGCGACGAGAGGTTTGTGAAGTGGACCCAGGACGTATCAGACCGACACTGTCGCATTCTGGTGTGGCCTGTGGCTGTGCCTTGGATGAAAGTTGTGGCGAGCCAGAGTGCGAGTGCTACACCTATAGACCCCGTCACCATAACGCCGGAAGACATGGCTGAGGCGATAAGTAGGACCCCGGATTGGAAAAGTCTGGGGCTCGACGAGCTGTATCATAACTGGCTGAAGGAGTTCGCAGTGTCACACTGTGCTCACCCGACAGTTTCAAGAGGCTCTCGACCAGAGCTGTACAAGATTGACTGTACAGTTAAAGACTTCCTCGAGCAATGTATGGGGCAGTGGAGTACGATCCTTTGTCATCTGGGCGAGCGGATGATGGCTGCGGAGAACCACGTAAGGATAAGAAGGGTTATCTTCCAGGGTGACTGTCCGAGTCCAATCTGGTTTTGCCTCTCTCTGAACCCTCTCAATGCCTTAGTGGAAGGTTCCAGGAGGGGATTTCAGTTACGGGAAGGAGGGACAAAAAGTTACCCACCTTTTCTATATGGCTGATCTCAAGTTGTTCGCCTCCAGTCACTCCCATCTTATGGAATTGCTGAACATCACTTATGAATTCGGCAGTTACATCCACACGGAGTTGGGGACGGTGTGCGGTTCTCCATGTTGAAAGGGGAACGATTGCTAACTCTGAGAGTATAGACTTATCTATGCCCCTTAACTTAAAGACAAACAAAAAAAAATTAAAGGTGGTCAAGCATTATAGTCGATGACTCTTTCTGAATTCTGGTAAAACATTCGCTAGTTTGAACGAAGGCAAGTTACTTGTTCGAAAAATTTGAATGTATTTTATATCTATAGAAATAAATAAAATTGAAGAGTCTGTAATTTCAAAATAACATCTTTTTACTAAATGCACATAAAGTTTTATACGCGGTTTATAAAAAACAAATTTTAAACTATTTTTCTATCGGTCTGTCTGTATGTTCAATCCAGCTAATCTCCGGAATGGCATGACCGATTTTTTTTCACTGGCAGATGGCTGACGTTATTTATTAGGAGTAACTAAGGCTCATTTAATTTTAGGAAAAGAATTTGGGTCCACGCACAAAAATTAAAACCATGAAATCCAATCGTAATAAATTATAGAATATTAATATAGTTTCTTTGAACACTTAATTAGAAATTTTGAGATTAAGGTGTACGTCAAGATTGATTGCAAGAAAAACACAACAGGTGAGCGTTAAATCCTTCTTTATATAGGATAATCTATGTATACCACCACAGTACTTTGTAGGTCATTATAGGTCTTGCCAGAGAAACGATCTGAAGAACATTACTAATTATGTTAATATTTCATGTTAAATATTTAATCAAAACTTTAAAAATTAACTCTCTTCGTCACTTTTTTCGTGTATTTAAATTCCTAATATAGTAAACTCAAACTACTTTTCAGAAACAAAACAACATCGTTAGATGGTTACGACACCACAACGAAATTAGACACCTAACACATAAAAGACAAAGGCTTTGTTCAAAGGGTGGAATAAATAGGGTTGTTTTAATACCGTTGTTATGTCCCAACATTTGTAAATGGCTATTCATTCTGTGAAATGTGTTTGCTATATAACAAATTTATGTTTACAACAACAAGGTAATAATAACTTTCACTTTATAATATTCAGTTTTCTGTGACAAATGATTCTTTAATGTGCCCCATTTAAAAATTAATTTAAGAAATGTTAATAATTTGATTGAAATGATATATTTTACTTGAATGTTTAGAGGAATATAATAACGCTTTTGCACGTGGCGCATTCTGCTATTTGATGAACAAGATTACGTGTTTGGAAATTTATCCAAAACCCCAAAATCATAGTTTCACTGGTGATGGTTTTAGAGTATTCTGGGCGCATTGGCTAATAGGTGGAATTCTCTACTACTAGGACAACGGATTTGTTTGTATGCGTCGGCTCCCAATCGAGCGCAAGATTAAATTAATTATATCATTAATATTATTATTAACACTTTAATAATTTTCAATTGTTACAATCACCTGTGGATAAAGAATCTGAAATAAATGTTTTTGATGATTTGTCTTTCAGAAAAATTTCAGATGTGCGCTTACTTAACTTATGCCGCGTGGTTTGTACGTACATGAGATGCAGCAGCTGCTTACCCTCACGTAAATTGTGAATTTTGTTGGCATTTCATTTTTATTTCAAAAACTAATGCCAATAAATACTAGATTTTACCCCTCGCAGAATTCAAGGAGGCATGAGCCTAGTAGTGCGTAATTATGATTTTTTTAAATGTAAATGCATCGATATTGGAGTAAATTTTAATATCCTTTCACTATTATTTATTCTTCTGCCCTCGTATGGAAGATCTAACGAAATGGTGCTATTGTGCACGTGAGTAAAAATACCAACATTTCGCCAACTGCCAACGGAACTTTGGCGTGGTTCATGAATGAACAAGATCCTAACTAACTAAATGATGTTAATATGACAAAATCCCATAGTCTGGTAATAGAAAAAGAGTATCAGTTTGTGCTCACAAGCTCCCTGCTCCAGTTGATTAGTATATTTTATTAAACCCATTTTTTTAAAACCGTACACTATTTTAAGCGTAGCCAATCGTTTCGTCAGTGTAATCCGATAAAGATGCTATTCTCCAGACTTGTCCTAACATCTGTTGTGCGCACGCGAATCTCACTTTTAGAATTAACATAGATTTTTACTTGACAACCTAATGAAATAAATACTGCAGCGTACGCATGCGCGTTTGTTTTTCCAAAATCTAAACCACCGCTACCGCTCGTTACACGCGGTGCGTCGACAGGGGCACGTAACGTTTACTCGGCGCGTGATCCCGCTGGTGCGTTTTATTTACATAGAACAACTTGAGATCATCCATATAGAATAGGTGAGTCACTTTTGTCCTTTCTTTCCGTAACTGAAATCCCCTCCTGGAACCCCCCACTAAGGCATTGAGAGGGTTCAGAGAGAGGCAAAACCAGATTGGACTCGGACAGTCACCCTGGAAGATAACCCTTCTTATCCTTATGTGGTTCTCCGCAGCCATCATCCGCTCACCCAGATAACAAAGGATCGTACTCCTCTGCCCCATACATTGCTCGAGGAAGTCTCTAACTCTACAGTCAATCTTGTACAGCTCTGGTCGAGAGCCTCTCGAAACTGTCGGGTAAGCACAGTGTGACACTGCGAACCACTTCAGCCAGTTATGATACAGCCCGTCGAGCCCCAGACTTTTCCAATCCGGGGCCCTACTTATCGCCTCAGCCACGTCTTCCGGCGTTTTGGTCGGGGTCTGTGTGCATACTCTTGCTCGCCACAACTTCCATCCAAGGGCCCTCGCTGTGGTTTACGGGCTCTGACCACAGGTCACGCCAGAATGCGACAGTGTCGATCAGATCCGTCCTGGGTCCGCTTCACAAACCTCTGGTCGCTCCAATGATTTATAAATCTTCTTCTGCTCATTCTGGAAGGGACGATTCTGGTTGAAATGCCTTGATCTCTCAGTAAATCGCCGAATCCGCTTCCCCAATCAGTGACTTTGCTTCAGTTCATCTATGCGCTCTGTTAATTTCTGCGTGATATCCAGCTGGGACAAACTGATATTTATCCCAACAAACGCCATTCTAACGGTGCGCCTGACCCTCGGTATATTATTACCCGATCTGAAGCTTGTCAGTCTGCCGAAAAAGGGCCTTTCCTTTGCAATACGGTCCTCGATTCTTTTTCTGTAGGCTGGGATAGCGCTACTTTGTCTAGTAGCGCGTCCAGCCATGGGAAATTTGGCGCTTATAATATGGCAGACTGCCATTGCGACGCCAAAAAGAATTGAGTCCGTCTCACAAAATGGTCTCGGCTGGCTTTCAAATAGGTTACCTGTATTGGGTTCACAGCCCTCACAACAGCCTGATTCCACTTGCTTAGGGCTATGCGGGGAAGTCGCGGTCGATTTTCGGGAGGCGTACTGCGCGTTTTCACAATCGCCTCTTACAATGTACTCCTCATTTGCTCTAATTCCAGTTCCTAGGCGACTGTTCTATCATCGTTTGAATCAACTACAACTGAGGTATTCACGGCGGCATCCACGACTGAAGGTCGCTCTGCAAGTTATGGCCCCGCAACCTCAGAAATAGCATTTTTGCCCAATGAGGGAACAGCCTCACGTCGTAGCCGTTCGAGTTCGGCGACATCAAATATATTTGAGCGCAAGATATAGCGAACTTGGTCTGCCAGGTTTTGCTTGGTGACGGTTATAGATGGCTCCAGGTCAGCAAAATGTCGATGCATCCTAGCCCGATTGGCAAAACCTCCAATTTCTCTCCCTTGCACCGCAAAACACGCCAGCAATGCGTTGCTATTCATCTGCATTGTCCAACGCATGCGGCGTACTCCACCAGTGGCGGGTGCCGATTGCTGTACCCGCGAAGACTCTGCTGACACCAAGCCAGCTGGTGGGGATGATGGATGCGAGGAGCTGCTGGGTGGCCGACCAGCACCTCGCTTGCGCTCGGCTAGCGGTTCGCATGCTGCCGCGTTCAGCGCCAGCTCCAGACGCGCCCTGGTGACCTCCAGGCAGCGGCACTTCGCGTGTCTTCTGCACTCCATCACCAGGCGCCGTAACATAGTGAGGCCACGTGCGCAAGCGGGGCTTTGCACTTTAAATTTTTATACAAATACAAATACAAAGTCTTAATTTGCATGAAACACAGTTGACAGGGTCGTGCTTACTCTGCTCGCAGACGTGCAAAAATTTTAAAAAAGGATGTGTATATAAATGAAGCACATAAGTCATTTAACTAATTTTACCATTCCAAATATTCTTTTAGGCTATAGAAACAATTTTCCAATAACCATTTAGCTAAATTATTTTTGAAACAGGCTCCTTCTGATTTCTTATATTTACGCGAACACTATACATTGATTAAAACTACTTTTACGGATTTTATCGCGTTTTATTTATTTTATTTTTAATACCCGACATTTCGGGTGCTTTCCAGCACCCATGGTCACGGGGAACTGAGGTGAATGACGTCCCGATGTTAAAGTTAACCCCGAGTACCTTCAGCTTTTTAATTATTGTCTTTGGTCCTATCTACGCAGAATGAACTAACTGTGTTTAGAAGTCTTGCAGTGGTATGCTTGGGTTAAGGTTTAATTTTATTAATTATAGGATCCCAAGCAGGTGTTAGTACCCAGCCTCCTTCTCTATTGAAATAAGAATGTTTTTTTTAATTTCAATAGCCTCGCGTATCATCCTTGGTAGGAATCGATATTCTTTCGCTAGGATTTGTGGTCTATCAAATCTGATATAATGGTTGGGGCCATCTAGGATATGATCGCAAACTGCAGACTTCCCGGAACGTGATGCTTCACGTCAGCTATGTGTTGAACACATAGCTGACGTGTAAACTACGAAAAAACGCTGAAGAATAAATCCTAGATAGATCGATTTATTGCCTCAATACATACAATAAAAATAAGTAATGACCGAGTATACTAACCTGTGGTATGCCTGTTTTTTTTTTAAAATAATAATTGAGAACTATGAGTTTCTTTTATTAAAATATTTTTTTTGTGTAATTTTTGTTATCTCTGTAGCCTACTTTTTAAATAACTCTCATGCCATACGCTATCTACTTTTTAAATAACTCTCATGCCATACGCGTTCCCCCTAATTCTATATGATTCTAGTTTACAGAGGAGTTTATCATGATTTACAAAGTCAAAGGCGTCACTCACGTCAAGAAACAGTGACAGTACCGAGGTATTATTATTTATACATTCAGTTACATATTTTATTAATTCAAAACAAGCAAGAGATGTAGGACTACCTTTACGAAAGCCAAATTGTTCAGGTTGTAATATGTCACAATAACTTATAAAATCATTAAGCCTTTTAAGCATTGCTTTTTCAAAAACTTTTGACAATACCGGAACCAAAGTGATAGGTCTATATTTGCCTATATCTTTTTTATCTCCTTTTTTATACAAAAGATGAACTATAGATAATTTGAGATCATCTGGAAATACAACTTCTTCAAAAGACAAGTTAATAATATGAGCTAGGGCTATACATATATGAGAAGCACATGACTTTAATACCTTGGTAATGATTCCATCATACCCACAGGATTTACTATTTTTTAGAGATATTATGATATTATTAATTTCATTTTCATTGGTGAGTTTTAAATATATTGGACGAGAATACTAGTAAGTTAAATATATTGTACGAGAATAATAGCATTTACCGAGGCACGGCACTAACACCTCTTGGCAAGGTGCTGACTGACTGCGCTGACGTATCAGTTTTGTTACTTACCTGTTATGTCAGTGGCGTTGGGGTCATCACTTCCCTACGCCATTTAATATTATAATTGCTATTATATTATTTAAACTTATATATTATGTTTATTGTTTGTTTTGTTGTTAATCGTTTATTTTACGAATACAAATTATAAATGTAAATTCAAAATTAAAAGTGAATTCAAAATTAAAATGAAACAATCAAATATTTTAACATATATATATTATACAAACACAGAGGAGACCTTAACGAACATAATTGTTTGATAAAGTACCTCTATGTACAACCCTACGCTTCTGTATATGATTACCCACCTTTAGTGCTTGCTTGCATTTTAATTATTTTTGCCTAACTCTAGTGCATATAAATTCACAATGACATGAGGTGTATAGTGTTGCCAGTGGAAGCTCATATAGGTTGGGATGCCAGTAAAATCTTATTTTTCCCCCCGAATAGTTAAAACTCGTGTGTTTCTGTCCATCAATTCATGACTGCATAGTATAAAAACACAGAGGAGGCGTCAACTTCATATAATTTTGATCGAAGGGCACTTACAGGTAAGTTACTTTGATCAAATAATTATAAGTGAGACTTAGCCTAGCATAAGCTACGGGAGGCAGAAGTGTCACGGGCCCCGGAACGCTTTTCTTTGTTCTTAATTATGCAAAATCAAAACACATCCAGACGAAAATCGCATTTTAGGTAAGGATGACGCGGTGAAGCAAAGTTAAAGTTAGTGACTTAGGTCACACGACATTTTGACTTGACGGCTCAGTATTAACATTCGGGGTAGCGCGCTCGAATCCAGCACAGAAGATGTGTTTGTATGACCTGCAAACGACCTTGCTCGGAGTAAATAGCTAATTCGATAATTGTACTGTTTTTATTGTGAATAAAATTATTAATTTTAAAACATTGATTAAAACTACTTTTACGGATTTTATCGCGTTTTTTTTTATTTTAATACCCGATATTTCGCGATAAAATCCGTAAAAGTAGTTTTAATCAATGTATAGTGTTCGCGTAAATATAAGAAATCATTATAATTTCAAAAGCCGTGAATAATCAACGTGACTTTCCGACTTCAGTACGAGTAGACAATTAATTAAAATTCGTTCATTTCGAAATGACAATGAGATCTCATATTATCATATTTTATAATTGTTGTAGCTCACGTAAAATTTTAATTAACTTTAAACTCGGTCAATATAGCGTTATTTTAAGGGCATAAAAATCTTATTTGAAATGTTTTTTATGAAATATGTGTATCATCATCATCATTATAGAATTATAAGTCCACTGCTGAGCTTAGGCCTCCCTAATGGAATGCCACATCTCGCAAGGCTGTCGTGTCATCTAGTAGGGGATCGCTCTACCTTTTGTGAAATACGCTGGTATAATGTATAAGTGCATTACTCCTCTCCTGCATCAGCCATTGTTACGAGAATATTCAAAGAATAACGACGTCAGAAATCATTCAAAGTTTAAGTTCTCTGAGCCTGTCCATACCATCATTCCTTAAAAAATCGTACCAACAGCTTGGTACGATTTTTTAAGGAATGATGGTAAGTTCGATCACTGCCCATGAATAACTACGACACCAGGAGAATTGCAGGCCTTTTAAAAAGGAATAAGGTCATCCGGGGTGAAAGCAACTAAAAAAAATCATAACTTCCTGTCCTCCACCACGAACCACTTAATAAGAAAGGTTACTTGAATAAACTTTCTGAATTCCGTGCCTATCAATGAACATTTTCTACATGAATTAAATTACAAATAGACTTAGGTTTTTTAATAATTTACATCTTAATCAATAAAAGAGGTAAAAGTTACATTCACCCCATCTTGGGGTTAATGCACCTATTAGAGATTATACTCTGTTGTTACGCATAACTAGATGTTAGGGATAGAAATATATTATGTAGTTCCACCATAAAACTACTCGAAAATGGTATCTAGCCGCCGGTAAAAGGGCTCAGTTTCCAAAAAATAAACGTATATTTTGGCGAATGCAACTGGGCTTCACACTTACTAGTAGGTACTGTGATAGGTACATAATATTACTTATCGATAAATCTTCGGGAAACAGATTAGCAATGACTGTAATGAAGTAATCTGATATTACAGTAAAAAGAAAAAGTGATTCCTGTTTTTATCTTATACTTATGTTTATTTAAAAAAATATATACACTATGTGCGGATTGCACGCCCGTTTATGGTTAATTTCTACTGGTTGTGATTTTTTAATCGTTAAACCGTTTCTCTTGCGAAAACCACGAAGCCATTCATCACCAGGGACATCTTTTTTAAATGTCGTAATTATACCGCACCGTCTAAAGTATTCTGACACCGATGCCTTGACTTCTTTCTTTGTCAAAGGAAACCTGTTGTTTCAATTGTAGTCAAATGGGAAGATATTTCCTGCTCAAACGATCGTTAAAATACAGTATGTTTACAAAGGTAAACTGCAAAAATATTAGCAATCAACGATCTGCACGAAAATTTCAGGTAAATGTAACTATATCAATAAAATGTTTATTATAAGACATAACGTTTAACCAAATATATCAAAAGCACTAACGTTTTCACTAAGACGAACTTGCAATTCTGATGGAAACGACGAGAAATATTTTTATAATACAAAACCAAACAGATGAAATCATTGCCATTGCAGAGTATACTCAGTGCTCACTCACTCTAGTGAGTACTCAGTGCTCAGACCTTGCCTTGGCTATAGCCAAGGCAAGGTCTGAGCACGTCGTCAGAATTGGCGAAAAGCTAGTTCGCCAACCTTCGAGAACCCGTGCATCCTGGTCTCTCGCCAAGGCTATGCAAGAGAATTTCTGTCAGTCATCTCTTCCATCTCTGCATAGAGAGGACGACTCACTGGCCCATACCGCAAAGTAGAAAGCCGATCTCTTATACTTTCTCTTTGCGTTTAGTGACTTCCAATACGCTTTCCGCCGTAGTCGATCAGCTGGTGATCTTATAGTCTACCTGACTCATAGATAGAAGGAGTCAGTAGAGTCCAAGGGGAAGGCACTGGCCGTTAGTATGATCATAGAGAAGGCCTTCTTCTTAGCGAAGATCTGAGGAATTGTTCGGTTTAATTCCAGCCGCCAAATTTCAGGAACACACATCGCATTAAAATTCACCATATCATCCTCACCATCTGGATGCTTGGCAGTTCACCACTGTACGTTTTACTAGGAGCTTTCTTTCTCATACAACTTGTCTGTGGAATTAGTTATCAACGGCGAATTTTCCGGACCGATACGACTTAGGAACCTTCAAGAAAAGAGCTTACTCCTTTCTA